ATCCCGGCGAGCACATACCTTAGCTCCGCGGCATATAGGAGGTCTCCCGGCTGTTGACCCACAGGATAGGGCTGCCCTCGCCGCAAAACCCACCCAGCCAGCCGCCCCCCTTCCCTTTCCTCGCCTCTCCTTCCCCCGCAAACTGTTCGCTGGGAGACCCCGCCTCCACTCCACCGCGCCGCCGTGGCCTTCCCGGCGCGCACATACCTTAGCTCCGCTGCTTTGTTCACTGACACAGCTAAACAGGTAACCCTACGGTTCCAGCGTGGAAGTCTTGATTTTGATGCCAGAAAAAAAAATGAATCTTAGAGATAATTGTGTGATGTTGGTTTGCAGTGGGTACGTAAATGGAGATGAAGTCGTCTAAACGGCCCTTCGAGTTGCTCATAGAGAAGAGGCTATGCCTTGAAATCCTCAGATCTGATTACATCAAAATGTTTCACAAGATTAAGGTCCACAAGAATGCCATAGACGAGATTTACAATCAAGTCAACCATGTTGAGCCATGGATGATTAACGACAAGAGGGTCCCTGGGCACGATACCTTCATTGCCCTCACCAAACCCGTCCGCATTGTCCCCTCCAAGGCCTTCTGCCTCCTTTACAAGCCCTTCACCATGAAACTTACCACGAAGCAGATCAAGGACCTAATTGACAACACGCACTCGCCTTATGTCAGAGCTGTAAGTGAGCAATTTTCTTACTTTGATAAGATCGGGAAGTGACGAGTGTTACTGATGTCTATTTTTTAGTGCTTAATTTAGTTGTATCCGAAGACTGGGATTGAATATAAGTGACACCATAGTTATTTTGGTAATGAAATAGAATTACATGAAAATATATATTTTCAGTCCATATGTATCCCATATAGGTTATAAAATCTCCACGAAAGCAAAAACACTAACATTTTGTGCATGGCACTAGCTTATGCAGAACCAGGAATACTTTGGTTATAATAAAATCTTTGATTCTAGCTCTCAGGTAATAATAACTATTTTTTACTACAGATTGGATTTTTATACCTGCGGTATGTTGCGGAACCAGATACCTTATGGACTTGGTATGAGCCCTACATTCGAGATGACGAGGTATTGTTTATTCTGTGTTAGTCCCTTCCTCATCTGTATTTGTTTGACCACAAGTTAAGTATCAAGAGGACAAATTCTATTTTTGATGATATAATTTTACATTCAAGTAATTTTCAAGCCAAGTGTTGTTTCCAGTATAGTGATGTGTTAACATATACTCCCTCCGTTCCAAAATAGATGACCTAACTTTATACTAAAGTTAGTACAAAGTTGAGTCATCTATTTTGGAACGGAGGGAGTATAATATATACACAAAGATCTTCTATGTTTGTTACGCACATGCTATTGTTAAGAAGAATGCTTATGCAAGCCAGAATTAACTACTAAACATATTGCATATGAAAGCTGGCACAAAATACGGTTATTCTATTGTCTTCCATCATGGATACTGATGGAAGTGTGTGATCAGAAAGGTCAGAACGATAGTTCTCTGGAATCCACCATTCCTTTAGTAGAGATTATTTTGCACTTGTTAGTTGTTCTCAGAATACATAACAATGTGCACATGTATGAACCTAATGCTCAGCCATCTGGATCAATCTGTTGAAATAGCTTGTCATGCATATTCTTAACATTTATGATTCTTTGTGATAAGACGGTTACTCTTTTTTGAGTTCTTTTTAAATGTACCATAGCTCACCTCCATATTATTTTGTGTTCTTTTTCAGAAGTTTTCGCCTGGACCCAATGGTCAAATGACTACTATGGGCGTTTATGTGCGTGATCTCCTCCTGGGTGAGGTATTCATCTCTTAAATTATGGTCCCATTTCTTCCGTTTGGCATAACTGTACCATAAAACTGCTAAGTTTTCTATGGTCATACAGGATTAGCATACTTTTTCCGAACCTAAATGCAGTTACTGTTTGTTTAATCTCACCTGTTGATTTGTCATACCTAGTGGAAATTTCAATCTTGGGAGTTGCTTTAAGAGGAGCCACTTTGTATACGTTTGGTCTTAAAAAGGAGGTCCAGGGTGTAGTAAGTACTCCCTCCGTTCCCAAATATAGGTCTTTCCCTCTCCTGTTCCCGGTGAAATATCTTCAAATAAAACAGTACTGAAAAGAAAACAGAGGGTTCCCCTCCCGAGTCGCCCCGCGCGCGACCGGGAGGAAACCCTAGCCGCCGCCGGCCGGGTCCCCCCTCCCTCTTCCCCTCTCCCCTCGCCGCCGCCAGAGGGCGCGGCCAGGCGAAGCCTGGTCGTCGCCGGCGGCGGCGGGGAGCTCCTGTCCCCTCTCGCGTCGGGCTCGGGGCGGGCCGAGGCCGGCGGGCCGGGGTGCC